TTTCAAGCCTTCTACCGGTGTTGTTCCGTGTGATAGGTAGGTACAAGTTATGTAGGCGTGTAGGCGTGTAGAAGGGAGTGAGTAGCTCACGTGCGTGTGGGATGAGCGCGTGTTTATGACGTCACGGAAGTGTTAACTACTCACGTGCAAGTGCACACCTGAGACGCTGTACAGCTTTAACAAAATACTTGTTTGAATTTCCAAATTGTTGGATAAAATTGAACACTCGGACACTTGAAATTAAGATTAATGAAAATTAAGATCTTAAAAGCAGATTAAAATCTGTCAGGACAATTCTATATTAGGCAAGCATGATTCTTGAAAAAAACGTTTCTCAGTCGTTTGCATCGCAGGTAGAAAGATATTTTCCTGTAGATGAACTCTTTATAAATTGAAACATTCTAAAAAATAAGCTCAAAAATTATTTAAAATAAAAAAAAATAACATTGGCCTTATGGGTTGCTATACTGGTGGCAAAATAACGACGAAATAACAACGATATATTAACAGAAAATCATAACAAAGGGAAGAAATTTCAATCACATGTTTTATTTACAGTGTGGGGTGAAAGTAGAGAAGTTTGCATAATATTGTTTGGTTGAGAATTTGACCACTGAGCGACCTCTATAATTATACTGTACATGAATTGCACATTGCCTACTTTTTTCATGTAGAAGGATAAGATATAATAATGATCAACAAATTACAGGTTTCGCCCAGTATGGGCATTGCACATTATTGCTAAAACTGGTTACTATATACAAACCTCGCTTCGTACGCAAGTCAAAAGGCCAATGAAGTTGGTTTACTCAACATGGCGACAATTTCAATACCTTTATACTCGTTTGTATATTTTATGTACATTTTGGAAAGCATATATTTGGAAATGAATCGTAAAGCTATACAAAGTACAGCTTACACATATATTATAGCTATTATACACTCTTGTGTGCGTGTAAATGTCTAGTATGCTAATACATTGGCAACTACAACTGACCAGTTAAGTGTGCCAACAGGTCAGTTATAATTTTACAATCTACTCACCATATGTTCACTAGACGAGATTAATTGATTAATTATAAGATATTTTTCTGTAAGTAAGCTTTATCTTGTACGGAGTAAACTTATTTGTGAACATATTTTTAGACTATGGTACATAAAATATATAAAAGTGGTATATAAAATTCAAGTCAGAATTTTGATTTCACATTATACCATCCTACTATTCGCTTAGCTATTTTCTTGAAGTTTTTTCAGTACAACATTTCTTAGTCAATACTAAAAGTTAGGCAAGCAAGTCATATAATCGCCTCATCTTCATGGAACAGCTGAATACAATTTTATTGTTAGTTCTGTACGTTGTACTACAGAGGTCGTGTATTGTTAACAATTTTTTTCCTGTTATTTAAGTAATTTAAAACCTCTTTTAACTAAATAATACGATTTAATCAACTCCTCCTCTAGTTATATAGCCAAACAGTAAAGCACAAATCAAGAAATTAACCCTAAAATAATGTAAACAAAATTTCGTCGACACTAGCGCCCAATGTCGCCGTTTGTGAACTAGACTCGAAAAACGAGCTTCAAAATTACAATGTGATGAGAAGTTTATTTATGTTGGATGTTGGTTAGTCTATGACTGTACTAAACATAATACAATTATACTAATGTAAAAATAATGTAATTAATCAATTTTATATTATTTAAAACTATTACATATTGGCTATCTCCCTCCCCCAACAGACCTCTTAGAAAATGTAATAAGAAACATCGTAGCGAAATTTAAACGCAAAAGTGGGTACATATTTGTTATGTGCACAATTGTAACCAACTTCATCTGTAATAATGTTAAAAGACTATGTAAAGGTCTAGTTAAGTTAAAAAGTTTGTTATTTCCTTTAGTGAGCTTTTAGTTCTCAATTTATATGTTAAATAAAACGTAAACAACTCTTATAAACAAACCAAGTCAATCTGTAACTTATTTGATAAAACTCGATTGATAACCCATATTTCACAGTATCTCAATACAGTAAAGCACTACTTAGTGTGGATCATTTATAAATAGTTTCTGATAATAGAAAGAATCGTTCTAGTTTCGTATAGCTTCTCAACATGCAGATTGTTCGATCTCATTGTGTTATATGTCGTAAATTAAAGGAGTTGCTACAGCATTCTTATAAACTCAATAATGTCAGATGATGAAGGTTTTTCAACAACTCCATTGGAGAAAAGGTAAATTCTATAGAATATGAAATATATATAACAATAGTGTCGTATACATAAAAATATTATGAAGACACTGTAAATATGAGTTATGTTGTGAATTCTTTTAGCTACTATATAATTTCCATATAGGAAAGGACCTTTTGCTGTAGTCTTCAAGGTAGGATGTACGTTCTTTTCATATTTTAGAACCCAGGAACCATAATCGGTGTTCGTAAGTTCGTACAGTAATGAAGGCCTATTATGTAGAGGTCGTCCAATGTTCGAAACCTCGACCAAAAATATGATATTTACAGAGTTATCTATTTTTACCCCAGACTATAAATATAACATGTGATTGGAATTTCTGTAATTTGTTTTAATTTTCTGGTGTTTCGTTGTTATTTGGTCCCCAGCATTAGGCCCGTGTTATTTTTTAAATTTTAAACCCATTTTTTGTGCTTTTTTTACCCTTTTATAAATTACAAAGGCATTCTGCAAATCTACAGGAAAATATCTTTCTTACAGTATTCGTAGATTTTTCCTGCGATCCACACGAGCTGACAAAAAAGGTATTAAAAAACACGCTTGCCTATAATATATAGATTCTATAAACAAATCCATGCACCAATTATATATTTTATTTTATTTACCAGTTACATGAACTTCTCCTAAGCATTTCGCAAGCTTGTGTGGTTTCTTCTGCGGTTTTCTTAAGCAATCTTCTTAACACTTACACTATAGCCTATACTGTATTTACAAAATTGTTACGTACACTATTTGCAATATATTTTTCCAGTTAAATTCAGCATAAAAATGGAAAAAAATGTATATTACAATATAATATTATTTTACGCCCTCTGATTACTGTACCTAGATATTTGAGCAAAAACAATTATCCTTATGGAGACAGCATATTAATGAAACATTAACGATATCTCTGTGATGTTGAACCGGGTAAGCAATCCTGCTTCACGCAAAACATAAATTTAATCAAAATGCAGCGAACCAACAATTTGCTTGATGTCTATAATTATTGGATGGTTGGTTTCCTTTCGCAACAAGCTGTCACATAAAGAATCCTTATCTTAATCCTTCATTGAAGGAACTAATCTTATATTAATAAGCAACTTATTTGTTTAATCAACAGGTTGGTGGACTTTTATTTTTATTTATTTTTTATTTTTATTTGATTGCATGTAAACAACACAGATTGTGTAATGAGATTTTTAATTTACTTAGCATACTTTAAAATATATTTTTGGAACTAGTTCATACTTATTCTTTACAGAAATCCATAATTAATTCACCTATAGAGGGAAATACGTCTCAAGGAATTATAAACATTATTGTAGATTAAGTAAATCCACAGAAAAAATTGTTCTCATAATTTTATAGTGTACCTTATGCCCTGATAAAAGGTGCTTATTAATTAACCCTTCTTGTCCACAAATTAAGGGCTAATAAAAACAGTTTCATTTTCAAAGTAAAAGGTAATCGATATCATTAAAATTTTCGTCCGATCAACGTATTCTGATTAAACTTTTAATTTGCAAGGTAATCGTAGTTTTTAAATATAGTCATCTTCCTCTCTCTCTTTCTATGAAATCCATAAATATACTTTCACACTTGGCTAAAAGTGTAGACCTGTGTATTAATTATAACTAAGTAACTCATTAAAAATCAAAATCAAGAATAAATTTGAAAATAAGTCTAGGTGTTACAAGATTGGAGCTAAAGCGAGTAGGAAATTCCATATTTTACGTGACTGGAATCGTGTTTTAAATGCAATTACCTAAATTGAAAACGGTAAAGGACACACCCTAAAAGTCGTAACTTTAGTACATGCTATGCGAATCCAAACAAAACTGTTCATGAAATATAAATATTGCATTTTTAAGCATCTCATTCAACGTTGCAGAATTTCGAGTTACTAGTTTGTAAAAACTAATGTAACCAAACACTTTTCGAAAAGTAAAATCTAAATTTTCTTTAGAAAATTTCAGATGTTAATTGAGTGTTTTTTGCAGACACCTTTCAGGGTATGACTAAATAACTGACCCTGAATGGTATTACAACTAGTTAGGTACGGAAAAGGTACATTGCCATTTCAAAGAGAGCAGGTTGTATTTTTGTAAAGTTAGAAATACTATTGCTCATTGATTCGAATTAGCCATTAACCCCGTTCATATTCCCACCAAACCCATGACACTAGTAAATTATATGGAACTTGTGACACATCACAGCCGCAATATATCCAGAGAAGAGAATAACCCTTGTTTACTCTCTAATTAATAACTTAACGACATTTAAAACATTTTTATCTACAAAGAAGAATGTTTATTGTCCATCTTCTGGAGGGGATTATTTAATCAAGGTCCTTACATTCTTAAAATAGACGATTGGTTCTCGGTGCTCCGGAGATGACTGCGTCGTTGGCGGAAATACTGACCGACGTTTCAATACGTTGAACCAATCCATCTTCAGGGCAAGATATAATTATAAAGTGTTGAATTTTAGCTTCCCCAAAGATTTGCTGCAACGTATCAGATAAATCTACCAGTATTTCCGCCTCGACATACCCGAATACCAAGATTTGACCATTCATATATCCTACCACCTTCTCAACCACATTTAACGGTGATCAACTTTAATGAACAGTTTCGCTGCCTCGCCGTTCACCCGGTCTCCACCGCCCTCGGAGCGCAGCCTCCTGTTGAACCTGGTGTCCAGGGTGAAGTGGTCGGCGGCGACCCCCACGGAGGAGGCTGTACCCTTGGTCACCCCCGTGACTAACGTCGTGCTCCACTGGACCGGCGATCACGGGTGTACGGCCAAGGAGGAGTGCACCCGTCTGGTGTGGCTGCTGCAGAGGAAACATATGGGGGAACAGGGCCACAAGGATATACAGTACAAGTGAGTAGTTGTGGTGTAAGTATACTATTACCATTGATTATCAAGATTTGGTGTATGCTGCAAAAGATCCTAAATTGTACTTGCTGAACTACTTAATTAATTGAGAGAATGTGCAGAGCACAGACATAACTGGAACATATTTCGAATACAGAATTTGAATCATATATTGTTGTAATCTGTCTTTTAAACGATTGTCAATTATGTTTCCCCGTTCTTCTTTGTTTCGCAGCTACATAGTGGGAGGAGACGGGTTCATATACGAAGGTCTGGGATGGACCAAAGCCAGCAGAATGTTGTTGGAATTCCCTCTAGTTTTGAAGGGCTCCACTGTCGTTGTTGGTCTAATGGGTACCAAATGTGAGTCTCTCAGAACATTATAATGAGTCAAATGCTAATACAATTTCACTACTAATATCTAAATTGTTGGAAAACTGAAAAATAGATCTTAAATTTCTTAGCAATAGGCCTAAGGATTTTTACAATTCCTTAGATCGTTCAACATCGTTGAAAATCCTATTGACTATCAACCATATTCTTCATCAATATTATTTCATGAACCTCCTTATTATACGTTTTTCTTTGTTTTCTATTTTTATACTATTTTGTCGTTTTCCGCATTTTATATACTTATTATATAGTTTATTCTTCCTCTTGCACCACATAAACTTTTTTTATGATGCCTTTTCTCTTCCCTCTTTCGCTCAACTCTGTGTTTTTTTCTCATTCCATGATCTTTACCCATGTCTTACTCCATTGTCATTCGTTAGTTTTCACCTGATTCATCAACCATATTTATTCTATAACGTTTTGTTCACGTTACCAGATCATAATCTTTTTTTATTTGGTCCTTTTGATTCTTTTGTTCCAAATAATTAATTTACCTTATTCTTCTCTAGCGTCACGTTTCCCTATTTCCATCCAATTAGGGGTTTCTCTCATCTTTCTGTACTGTTTTCTTCTCATCCCTTGTTTTGCCTTCCCCTCCCAATCGTCCTTCACTTTTTCCATTCCTATACTCTTGCCTGCCATCCAATTCCTCTCCGTCTTATTCTACTTCCTTATATCTACAACGATAAAACTACAGTGTATTTGTTCCTTTCGCACGGTATTTAATTGCCTTATTTAAAGTTGAATGTTAAACATGAGGTACCTACATTTTTTAATCTTTTGTCGTAGGGAAGGACTCCTCAAAATTGATGCAGTCTTCCCTATCCAGTCTCTTCACCGTCGCTACTATAGAGGGGCTTTTGAAAGAGAACATGGAACTTTTCGACTTTAGTAATGGGATCCTAAGCAAGCCATCGGATAAGCCAGAAAATGTTGTCTCGTCATTTCCGCCAACATAATCTGTTACACGTTAACACGTTGTAGTAACAGTTCAAAATCTTTTCAAGAGATTCCAAGGGTAGACTTCCGTATCTGTTAGCACAAACAACCGAATTAAAATATCGATCATTCGATTGTTTCATTCGATATATCGTTTGGTTGGTTAGGTTAGGTTAACCTTACCTAACTAACCAAACGATATCGTTTTCGGTTGTTTTTGCAAACAGATACGGAAGTCTACCCGATTCCAAAAGTACTTTATGAAAAATAATATTAGAGGGAAAGAGCTCTTATGAACCATTGATGAGTTGTACACTTACGATGTACTGAATTTAACAGTATGTATTAATTATCACGGTGCACAAAATGGTTTAAACGTATCCTCTGTTGCCTATTCTATCATAGTGAGCGAAATGCTTGAAACTATAACTTTTTACAATAACTATCGTATTAGTAACTGCTGAAATGCAAATGCACACATATGAATACTGTGAGTGTAGTGTTTATTTTTCTAAGTTACATATTGATCCGTCCGCTATCATGTTTTATTTTAATCTTATTCGTGTGTGATAGCTGATGGTGTGCGCATCTTTGATAAATACGTGGATTAATTATAAAGCTGAATTTCGATATGCAGTTTTATATCAACCACTATTTAACTTTATTTAAAATAACTATTTATCGTCATCTATTAACATTTTGGTCCTTCGAGCCGGATCATTAACAATATTTTCGATGCACCATTTTTATCGGACTATTTACAAAAATCAAACACCAGCTGCAATGATAACAGAATTGGTGTTTAGCCGGATTAGCTGTCATAAAAAATATGTTTCTTTAATTAGGATGAGATGCTGATCAGGAATCACTAGGCTACCTAAAAACCCCGACACTGATGACTACCTCTAAGTTACAATAGCGACGATATACCTTGGTTGGGGGTGTTGGTTTGACGTACGACTTAGGCCTTTTCACACCGGCGTACTGGACGTACTGTACGTTTGGTACGGCCAGTTCGTACAGTACGCGGTCCTTTCACACCGCACAGAAACTTCCAAAACGTACACTTGTTCGTTTGCAGTCAGACAAGTAACACTGGCTGAGCACGTGGTTTTGGTGTGACCACTGCGCATGCGCGAGCTCGCGTACGCCTCGTACGATTTAGAAAAATCGCTCTCCGAGCGATTCTCACAAAACCATCGCGTACGTACTGTACGTACAGTACGTTCTGTACGCGCGGTGTGAACGAGCCCATATGATAACATGGACAGCGATTTGTTGAAAAAAAAACGTACCAAACGTACAGTACGTCCAGTACGCCGGTGTGAAAAGGCCTAACTGGCAAAGTAGCGAGATGGTTATCTACAGTGGGTGGTTTCAATTGACTTTCAACCTACGTTCCCGTTTTAACATTACACCGCTCCCTTGAACCCACACCTCAACTCAAATACTGCTTCGCCTGGTATTGCGTCATGGGAAAATCCATTCTCTGTTATTATACATTTCAATTACCAACCCACAACTTTCTACTCTATCGTCTTAAAATTGATCAACTTTAGAATTTCATATTTCGGATTAGAATTGCAGATTTAATTTGTTTAGCAGTGTTAGAAGTTAGTAACTAATTTTTCCTTACCTATAATGTGAAGTTTGTAGGTTACAATAGACTAGCACATCCTTTGGGTAAACATTTTAATTTTTGTGTGTTCTAAAATCTTTGTGTGTTGTGTCTAAACAATTGAGTTCTCTTTATGGGCCAATGTATTTTAAATGCATCTTACGATTTTTATCATAATAATGATCTGTGGGTTTTGTTATCAACTTTTAAAGTCTTAAAAATTCGTACGCATTCAACAGTGTCAGAAACCGAGGCTATACATATCCCCGGTCAGAAACAGCCTCGTGTATATATGTTTAAAAATTAAAAAAATAAGAATCGTGTAATCATATGTGAAATATCTACCTTTAACTTTTGAAGATGGTTCAGGTCCCTTTAAGATCGTCATCATTTAAATATTCCCTTTGCAAAGGTAGATGATGTAAATGAAAAAAATCAATACGTTTAAACTTCACAATAAATAGTTTTACTCGCATTTAGTAAGGGAACGAACTTATCACAACCTATTTTGTGCATCTTCCAATCATGCAAAATATGCTGTGGTTGACGTGTACCTATAGTCCACTCCTTACCACCCTAACCAACAGCCTAACCAACTGCCTAACCAACTGCCTAAGCCAACAGAATATTGCCTAAATTAACATAACCGTGAAAGCCCTTCCTCCTTTAGGCTTTTAGGTTTTAGAGTTTGTGCTGAATTTTGTTTTCAATCATCTGTTTTTTTTCTTCAATTTTACGTTTGTTTACATCAAAACAGATGGCCATCATACAAATTTTGTTTACATCCATCTGAAAATTGGATAATCGTTTCAGTTGACGCTGGCTGATTGTGGCGAATGAATCAATTTTTAATTATAGTGGTCATCCTCTTTTTGAAAAGACTCCCTTCACTCACCAAGCCCAAAGTACGGAGTTTCGAGACAATCCAAACAATTTACAGTTAGACTAAGTTAGGCAGGACAAGTTTCCCGCGGAATGCCAACCCATGACGCGCCAATTCCTCAATTACCCACACGAGATTGTGGCGCCAATTTGCGCAACAATTAGAGAACTAGCGGTACCAGATCACGTGACTGAACAGCTGACTGCTACAGCTGGCGACATATGCAAACATCGCCTAGTATCAAGACATCTTCCTGCGACGACTTCGGTGTTTCCTGTTCCGCTACAACTACGCAGTTAGGACAGCTGTCACCGTCTGGTGGTACTGTAATTATGTTATTGTCTTGAGGGGAGGGTTCTAGCTCACCGGTTGTTGGAACTTCCTTTGGGGGATAGATCGGAGACTAAAGCTAGGCGCCCACCGGGCAACTCAGCGGGTGACGCGGCGCGGCGCGACGCCGTGGAAAAAAGTTGCCACGTATCCGTGCCATGTTATCTTATGGACTGACGCCCACCTAGCAACCCAGCGGGTGGCGCAACGCGGCGCGGAAAAAAAACTTCTTCTCGAATCCGGCAGTGAGAATTCGGTAGAGAATTTCTTCCTCTCGTGTTGCCGCGCCTCCGTTGAGTTGCCTGGTGGGCGCGGGGTAGAGGCACGGAAACGGCGTCTGCCCCTCGTCTGCCGCTCATTCGGGTGTTTTCGGAAAGTATCGCGAGCCCTTCGGGAGTGTTCGGGTCCGAATCGAAGTGCACTGTGCATCCCCTCCAAAAGAATAATTCTCCGCGCTGCCCCGCGCTTCCGCTAGAGTTGCTTGGTGGGCGCGAACCCTGGAGAAGCGGACGGACGGAAGTTTTTCTCCGCGTCGCGTCGCGTCACCCGCTGGGTTGCCCGGTGGGCGCCTAGCTTTAGGGAACTCGTACCAAAAACACAACGGACAGCAAAATGTGAATGTGTCCGACACCCTGGTTATAACGTTTCATAAATGATGATATGACCCAACTTCAGAGTGGAGTGATCCAGAAAACTCATTTAAAATGGAAGGTGGCCACCATTGAGATGAGGTGTTATGAGATTAAGTTCACTATGTGTAAAAATAACGTGGCTTAAGAGGAGAGCTAGTTTTGTTCTAGATTTGTGAACAAACGTTGAGGGCAGTCTCATGACTTTGAAATCTTGTAGGTCCTAAGAATACTTGCAATCGTTCCTTTGTAATATTTGTGTGGCAGACTTTCTTCTAAAGTACATCTTGAAATAGAACTCAGACATCGTTGGTCTTCATTTGTCAACGAAGGTGCAATGATGCATCAAAAGTTTTAAAATGCTTACAATCATGATTGTTTTGTAATAATATTTGACATGCATAATTTCTTCTGGTACGTTTTGGGAGAGAATTTGGGGCCTCTTCGGCCAATGAATACTTGAAGGGTTTAATTTCCTTGTATTTTTCATTTTAATACGACACATCTGCAATGTACTCGTTGGTCTCCGTTTTGGATCTAAAGAGGCCAAGTAGATAAATTGCAAGTAAGGATTCGTGGTACTATTCTATGGCCTTATCATTAAAAAGGAAAAATCATAATGCCTTTTCTTCCATCTCATTTTATACTTCGTCCATAACATAACACGGTCTACTTCCCTTGTATATCCAACCGGGTGGGCATTAATTGCGCCAACTGACCTGAGTCAGGAAGTAGGGTACTGTATGCCTGAATTGTGCCAACTACTCCAAGGAGCCACCCGATAGTGCATTAACTGCACCAAGTGGCGGCCCCCTTTGACTGTGAGGAGGTTAGGTTAGGTTACATTACGTTAGGTTAGATTAGGTTAGGTTGTGCGAGGTTAGGTAAGGTTAGGATGACACGTAAACAAGAACATTCCTTCTGTCAGCAACTCAACCCTACCTGGCTTGGGCTTAGCGCAACTAGAACTTTTGGGGGGCCCTTTGAGGGCTTGGCGCAATTAAGGGACTTTTGGCGCAATTTGCACGACCTCTTTCTCAGTTTCTGCATTTAGCCCGTCAATGTATTCAATTAGACCGTAGCGGTAGCAGGAGCGTTTATTTCACTCATCACTCTGGCTCAAGGACAGCTGGTCGTGTTGTGTTGTGTTCCCGCGCGAGGCAAATGTGACTCAGCGCGGGGGAGTATTGCCCGCCAGCGCGCCAACCGTCATGTCACGCCGCCGTCACGCTGCCAAACCTAATTTGCGCGTGACGTCATCCAAGGTCCGGTACCAGGCCTCTGGGTTGGCAGCGCAACTGGCGCGAAAATTTGGCGCGCATGTCGACCGTAACATCCTAGTTTTGGTGTTCCCATTGACAATGTGGGTTATTTTGATTACGCATGGAAATCGGATCTAGCATTGTTTTGGATCGAATATAGTATTGAAAATGTACAATGGGAAGGGGTTGTATTTTAATGTTTCAAATTTTACTGTGCCCATACCATGAAATTCATTATTAGTAGAACCATAAGTTTCAATTGGTTAGTTGTGGATTTGTGATCAAAATATATGGAGCTACTAGCAGAGCACCCGTCCTTCGTACGGGGTTGGAATATAAGTATAAAATGCTTATTGCAGTTAAGCTTTGCGTTTGGGGAACCGGAGTTTTGCCAACGGGTGTCAGGTAGATGGGGGGGATGCCTTCGGCCACCTCTTGGTGCGGAGATTTGCCAACGGTGGTGGTGGGAGAAAGAGTGTGACGGAGGGAAGGAGAGCGATTGTCAGGGTTGTCTACGCTTGGCAGTTATGCGCTTGTCGCAGTGGGTTAGGTTAGGTTAGGTTAGGTTAGGTTAGGTTAGGTTAGATTAGGTTAGGTTAGGTTAGGTTAAAAATTCAATACATATCCTTTCACAGTCAGAAGTCCATAACTCCATTACTTTGAACACAGTCAGCATCCTGCCTGGTTTGTCCACCCCTAGCGGAAGCCACCCTCACGGTCACGTGTAATCTCTCTCTCTCCTCCTCCCCC